TAATTAAATACCATTTCCATCATACATTATTTGTCTTATAGATTCACATGGGAATCATAAATGAATCCAAGAGCATCTTCAACAAATTCTCCAAAAATGAAGACTTTAGATTTTTACTCCAACATATTCAGTAAACCTTCTCCAAAATAAAGAAAGTATGAGAAAGAGGATGATATTCTCCAAATTGATTACGTATAGAGAAAAATGTTCTTTTATTCATTCAACCCATCAGATTACTTGAACGTAAATGTTTAAGAGAGAAATAATATTTTATGAGTCGTATTGAATATTTTAATAATATAATTAAATGTGTAATCTTCAAAATATAGAATCTATTGGAGATGACGATAATTCTTCATTTTGGTGAATCTATAAGAGATATATTAAAATGACAATTACAGGATCATAACAAACAGCTTTCATTTAAATATGAAAAATAAACAAGAGTTAATAAAAATGGTGTATTTCTTTCGTTTTATCAATTTGTTGTACTTTTCTATTGATTTATTTATACATGAAAAAAGAAACGATAATTTTCTTTCATTTTACAAGTGTAAGGATTTATCCGTTCAATAAAAATGTTCAGGAACCTAATCATTTAAATTATGAAAGTTAGTTGGGTTTTTCTCAGTTTTAGTAAATTTAAGGTCCCAGGAGGGATTTGCATTTCAAATTCATTTCAATCTCATGTTTGGTCTGTTGGATTGTCCGGAATTGAAATCATTGATTTAATCGAAATCCTCAAATATAGGATTTTGAAATTCTTAGGGAGTGCTCAGGATTTCACATGATTTCGTAGGATCGTATGTAATAAGGTTTTAAATCTTTTTAAAAACATTTGATTTGCAATAATCTATTAATAAATGTAATTCAAATATTTTTATAATTATTTGTAATTTTTTCTATAAATTATTTATAAATAATGAAATCCTATTCCATCTCAAATCCTACAAACCAAACACAACAGTGATTTCAAATTCATTCCAACCCAAATTTCTCCAAATCTAAATCCCCTCATTAAATCCAAATCTCTCAAAAACAATCATTCAAACCAAATCGACCCTGAGTATTTTTCTCTTGTTTAATTTCAGAAAATTTAAACATTTATTTATCTAAAAAGTAATTTAATCATTTAATCACTCAAAATATGTGAGCATCTCCAACAACTTTTCCAAAATGAAGAAAATGAGGATTTTGAACCAATATTTTGTTTCAACAGTTTCTTCAAAATTTAGAAAGTAAGAGAGAGAATGGTTTTTTCTCCAAATATGAAGAACACCCCAAAAACGATTACCAAATGAGACCAACAATAAGAAATTTTGAAAATAAGTTTTTAGAGAGAGAACTAATATTTTAACAGATCAATGAAATATTTAATATTATAATTAATGTTCAATTCTCCAAAATGGAGAATCTGTTGGAGATGAATATAATTTCTTTTTAAAGATTTAGAGAATATGTTAGAAACGAAATTTGAAAACCACCACTGATTTGTTTACAAATCTACAATATTACAATAATATCAAGATATGATTTTAATACATCTATTTACTCATAAAAGTAGAAATTTGTTTGAATACTTTTTTACTGTTTTTCCGGTTAAAGTCACTTTATCTTTTATCAACTAAGTTACATGTCAGAGTCTCCTGCTACTGATTGTATTTGAATATGTATTCAATAGATAGGTCGTCGTAAAACAACGTAAACACCTTGTGTTTAGCGAGTCAAATACAAGATGCTAAAATATTGTTAAAGAAGGTAAAAGCGGTTTAGCGATCGCCAGTATATGAAGACCAGTGTCCATATATAAAATAACACCAAGGAGTTTTACCGATACTCCTCATACTAAAGATAGAAGTTTGTTGAAGAAATTTATACCTACTCTCGCAAACTGTTCATGGCCACGTGTATGGTTGTACCTGACATATCAATAAAGTAATTTTGTCTTACTTACGTTACTATACTTAGCGTCAAAAAGGAACATTGTTCATTCCGTCATGTATGGACGATCTGACTCAATTAGACATGCATGCGTATATTGCCGAATCAAAAGGCGACACGTGTACAGAACTAGTAAAAAGCATTAAACGCGACACATATAAATATCAATGGTAATCTTCGTTTGAAGTTGTTGAACTTGCGAATTCTTAATGAGATAATTAGCCTCCCAACAAGCGGAGGTTACGAGAACAGTGATCTTAGTGAGAGAAATACTTAGTGCGATATTGGTTTATATTATTCAATTAAGTTTTATGTGCCGTTAACAACTATAGGGATCAAATACGTAAATTAGTTAATAGGTTAGTAAAAATATGTCTGTGATTACGGATGTATTTTTCAAATTTACATAATTGTTCTATATAATTATGGACCTGATACAGAAATTTCATTTTTTTCTTACGTTTTGACCACTGTACAAATTGCAAACCTGTCAATTACCGATATATGGCTATTTGTTAGGTAATAAACAAAATTTAGAGTGTTAAAAATATCTATACTATATTATAAAGCATTTTTTATGCAAGAAGTACTATTTATTTATTCATATTACTTAAAATTCAAGATTACAAGTAAATTGTGTGTAAGTACAACTTATTAAAGCTTCATGTTTGAATTCGTGTAACTAACTGCAGATAAACATAATCAAATAAATGACAATCATTTCATTTTAAATATAAAAAATCTAAAATATAATTAAGATAGTCATTGAGTTCTAACAAAATACTTAATTATTATCGTTATAAAAAAAATATTATTAAACCAAAAGAAATGAATTAACACAAAAAATTAAGAAATTTTAAATAGTTAGTTTGATACTAATATCAATTTTTTTTTTTAATTTTTTATGATAAATCTTCATATTTAGATTTTATTTAAAAATAAAAATATTAGCGTTTTCTCAAAACCACCTAAAACTATATTATAACATCAATTGAGACAAAAAAATAAAACATTAAAATTAAGATGTATCTCGTTATATTGTACAAATACCATTTTAGTTATATTATAAAGCACTTAAAAGCTTTTTATTAAATTGGTTTTTTAGAGGATACAACTCATAAAATATTGTGTACAAGTTATTAATGGTTTTTTTTATTATATACCAATAAGGTAAATAATAAGAGTATTTAATACAAAAATCCTTCTAAATTACCTTTTTTAATTATTATTCAATCTCCATTAAATAATTTCAAAATCTTTTTTAATTAATTTCTAATACAAAACTCATGCTTAGTAGGAAACTTCTTTTCACCATTCTTCCATTATCATTCGAGTTGTATGCTTATACTAACCATAATTTTTTTATTAAATATTTTTATAATATAATTAAATATTAAATATTTTAAAATATTAAATCTGTTGAAATTAAATTAATTTTGGAGATATTGGATATAAACTGTTAGAAATGCTCTAATAAAACTTTTCATGTGTCGTGTTCATATTCAATTCTCTTATTAATACAAAAACGAATTTTATAATGCATATAATATCTTTCAAATTCTAAAATATTTTATTTTGTTTTCTTTAAAGGTAAATAACGATATTTTAGAAATCTTTAAGATAAAACCAGTCAACAATATATCTGAATCTTTTAGAAAAACCATCTCAACCGATCCATTTCAAGAAAATATAATTCTTTTTAAATAAACAGTTTACAGTTATATCTTATATTCTGGCGTATCACACACGTACGCTTTTAGTATTATATCAATAACTGGTTTATCTACTTTCAAGATATTAAAGAAAAAATATGAAAAATATTTTCTACTTTTTAATTATGTATTCGAAAAAATTATCAAAAATATATTATATTAATATTCTTAGGGGGTGTTTGGGATTGCTTATTTAAAACAACTTATGTTTTTTTTTTGTAAAAGTGTTTATTAATTTATGTGGTATAAAACCGGAATTTTGTAAAAAGTGTTTGGATTAACTTATAGCGGTACCAAAAAGTAATAAGTTGATAAGTTATTTTTTAGTGTTTGACAAATTTTATTTATATATGTAAAATGATCAAAAATGACAATCTTTCATATTATTGACTTATGGAAGTGTTTGGGATTGCTTATTAACTTATTTGATTTTTTAACATGTAAAAATTTATTTTTCATCATTTATAATAATATATTTGATAAAAATTTATATCAATAAGATTAATAATTAACAAACAAGGTTAAAATGATAAATTGGTAATAAGCAGTTTTTTTAAGTCATGAAGGATTAACTTATAAAAAAACTGCTTATTATCGGTTTGACATCAATATAAGCAGTTTTATTTTTTTTCATCTAAACACTAGTATTTAGTTTATCACCGGTGTCATACTAAAATAAGTTAAAAAACACCTAAAATAAGCAATCTCAAACACCACCTTACAATCATATTTGTTGTAAGTAATTAAATTATCTATTAATAATAATTCAAATAAATAACCTTTTTCTTTGTCATATTATTTTTTTCACCCTGTCTCTTATTAATCATTTATATAAGTATTTAACTGATAATATTTTTAGGTGAATTAAATATTCATAAATCTAGAAAAATATAAATTACGATATTATTTAATTGACAGCAATAATATTTTAAAAGAGAATATATGATTTTCGAAATTAATAAAATATATTTTATTTTGAAAGTAAATTCAATGCACATAGTGGATTTAATTTTCAAAATAAAACTGAAATAAACAAAAATAAACTCGGGCCCACCAAACCCTTTACGCCTATACATATAATACATTCCCCTCTCTCTCTCTCTCTCTCTCTTTATATATATATATATATATATATATATGTGTGTGTGTATATATATATAATCAACGACACACATTTCTACCATTCTTCCTTTCTACTCCTCCGACCAAACGCGGATTCTTTTGTCTTCCTCTTCCCGCCGTCCACTTTCTCTCTCTAAAACTTTCCAGGAAATCCTCGATTCCTAAATATAAGACCAATCAGAGTGGTATTCTTTCTTGATTCAAGCTTGTTTTCTTGATTTTTCAATGGCTATTTCAAAGAGTGTAAATAACAAGAAGCAGCACTGTTACATCTCTGTACCTTCGGAGATCATAAACTCTCTATCGTCTACTTCTCTTCAGTCTCTGGTTGTTTCTCCCAAGAAGGCAGCTGCTGCTTCCAGGACTATTGTATTTTCAAGAGCAAGGATCCTTAAGAACCCCAGGATTTGGTTTTTGTTGCTTTTTTTATGTGGGTTTTTTGGTATGTTGAAGATGTGGTATAATTTTGATCCTTTTTCGCCCTATCCATGTGGGAATATTGAAAAAAGGGACGATTCGAGCTTAATCTCCGATGGGTTTTTAAGTTCGGTGGTCAAACTTGAAGAAAAAGTTGAGGAAAAGAGTGATTTCTGGGAACAGCCGGATGGGCTTGGGTATAAGCCTTGTTTGGATTTCAGTGCTGAGTATAAGAAAACAAGTGTTGAGATTTTGAAAGACCGCACGAAATATTTGGTGGTGGTCGTTTCCGGTGGTATGAATCAGCAAAGGAATCAGATTGTTGATGCTGTTGTGATTGCCAGGATCCTTGGTGCTACACTTGTCGTACCAATCTTACAAGTCAACGTTATTTGGGGAGATGAAAGGTATTGTTTTCAATATTCCATTTTCAATCATGATTTCCAGTTCATATTTTCCATCTTAGATACCTCTTTGCATCAATAACAAGATCGTTAAAGTCTACCTGTTTGATAAAACTCCTCAATCAGACCTGGGAACATGTTTGAATCAGGGCCTCTCAAGATTACTGTGTTGAATCCCAAGTTTATCATATTCTTTCAATCTGTATCGATTCAATGTTTTTGATATTAGATTCATATGAGACTTCTTTTTTCTGATATGTGTATTAATTGGATTCCTAATTTGTGGATGCAGTGAATTCTCTGATATATTTGATGTTGAACACTTCAAGAGAACTCTAGCAGATGATGTTAGAATAATTTCATCGTTGCCATCGAACCATTTGATGTCGAGGCCAGTAGAGGAAAAACACACCCCACTTCATGTTTCTCCTCAATGGATTCGCTCTCGATACCTCAAAAGGGTACGCAAAATCTTCGCCATTCCAATCATGTTTCATTATGAAAACGCTATGCAACTTTGAATCTTTGATGATGCCAATAATCATCCGAAAATAACTATGAATTCCATCAATGGGTTTGTTTGTATTGTTTACTTGGTCAAGATTCCAATTAAACAGGGGATAATTCAGTTAACATAGAAGAATCCAATGTATGTTTGAATTGAACAAAAAAGCATCAACTTTTGTTGAATTTTAGCCGTTTATGAACGATTTTCAATTTGCTTGGCGATCAACGATAGCGAATTATTTTTAATTTGTGGTATGTTCTGTTTGTTTTTTTTGCAGATGAGGCGAGAAGGGGTTCTACTTCTTCGAGGTCTAGATTCAAGGCTTTCTAAAGATCTTCCTTCTGACCTCCAAAAGCTTCGATGCAAGGTACGATGGAAGCTCGTATTTTTTCTATAATTCATGTGAATTTGTTCATCAGGACGAACGGATGTAAATTAACTAGTGTTTGAACTTTTGTAGGTTGCGTTTCATGCATTGAGGTTTGCATCACCAATCTTTGAACTGGGAAATAAGCTTACGGAGAGGATGAGAAGCAAAGGGCCTTATCTTGCTCTTCATCTTAGAATGGAGAAGGATGTTTGGGTGAGAACAGGATGTCTGCCGGGGTTGAGCTCAAAGTATGATGAGATAATCCGCAATGAAAGAAAGCTTCGCCCTGAGCTCCTAACTTCAAGATCCAACATGACTTCCCACGACCGAAAGCTCGCTGGTCTCTGTCCTTTAAATGCCGTGGAGGTTACACGGTAAGCTCCTTTACTATCAATTAACCTTCTTTCCAAGGTTTGTTTATGTCATAGATTCGGTATTAGATGTGTGCATGTACGTGGTGTATGTCTAGTCTAGATGTGGGACTATAGCATGCCCCCTCAAACGAAGGCAAAAGAGTGTGTTTAGTCCCTAGATGCGGTATACCCTGTCTTCATACCATATTAGGTTATATGGAACCCTTTTTAATCTCTCTCTAAAAGATCCCTTCTCTCTCTAGATGTCGTTCACATATATACATGATGGTCTGTATCTAGCCGTCGCCGATGTGGGACTAAAACACGCCCTCTCAAACACAGGTGTAAAAAGCTTGTTGAGTCCCAAGATGTGGTAGACCATGTTTTGATGCCATACTAGGTTAAGTGAAACACTCATTGAATCTCTCTCTAAAATATTCCAGAGAGAAATAAGGTTCTTGCATATGTATATATATATATATGTATAGGTTTGATGATCCGTATGTAGTTGATATGGATCGTCTTATTGGAACGCTAATTGATGGATACTTTGATTTTATCTTTTAGGCTCTTGAAAGCTCTACGAGCTCCCAAGAACGCACGGATCTTTTGGGCGGGAGGAAATCCATTAGGCGGCAAAGAAGCATTGGTACCATTAACGAAAGAATACCCACATTTCTACAACAAAGAAGATCTCGCCTTACCCGGAGAGCTAGAGCCATTCGCTAACAAAGCTTCCATCATGGCTGCTCTTGACTACATTGTTTCTGAAAACAGTGACGTCTTCATGCCCTCTCATGGCGGAAACATGGGCCATGCTATCCAAGGACACAGAGCGTATGCAGGGCATAAAAAGACGATTACCCCCAACAAGAGACAAATGTTGTCGTATTTCTTGAACCCGTCACTTCCTGAAGCGGAATTCAACAGGATTATCTTTGATCTGCACCGTGATTCCATGGGGCAGCCGGCAATCAGAACTAGCAAAGCAGGACGTGATGTTACAAAGTATCCGATACCCGAATGTATGCGGAACAATTCAATGGTTCAACAATCATTATGAGGTTTGGGTCCACAACCAGAAGTTGACCAAATTGGAACTAAGATGACATCTTGAAGGTGATGATGTCTTCTGGCCTTGTATTTCTATACATACGGCATATCCTGTTTTTGGTTCTTGGATCTTGAGGTTCTTATTCGATTAATTCATTATTTTTCGCTACACGGGTGTTGTATCCTAGATGAGTAAGATGTACATAAAAAGTTACAGATATACACATTGATTACATGGTTTATACGATCAACAAAGCTTTGTTCTATCGATTTCAGTTCTGGGTGGCCGTGGAGTTGTTTTCACAAGCTTGCATGTGGCCTTACTTCTCCCGACAAAAATACCCAATAAGATGAGCAAACAAGAAGGCTAAGAATACAACACACAACCATGTGAGCACAAATTATGCTGGATTTCACCATGGAAGGAGGTTTATTCATATCAAAAACACACAATTTAAGCTCATAAATCTTGTTCCCATTTTGAGTCTAAACATAGTTTTCAGCATTTAGTAACTAGAACCTTATTTGGTGCCAAGAACCTTATTTGGTGCCAAGAACCTCAAAACACTTGAGAAGATGTTCATTTGATAGCAATAAGGTCATCAATCTTGCGTTCGATGTGTGCTTCGTGGTCTTCAAGCCGACCTTTAACTTCACCGTTCTCCCACAAGATTAGAGTTGGTACTCCTTTCAGATTGAACTTTGTGTCCATCCTCCATGGGTGATGCGCGTTCCTCCATGTGGGTCGGTCACCAACATAAGCCCTCAGGAGGGCCACGTCATCAGGAGATGATTCGAGTTTTTTGTATATAACTGGTTCAGCTCGAACACAATCTGTGAAAAAATGAAGATGAAGGCAATGAAATTGCAATTATTTTGGGCTGGGAACTGGGACTGGTTATGCCATAACTCGTTACGTGGTGGCACTTTTTGATCAAGACCGGTCATAACTGGTTTTTGCTCGTCTCTATTTACAAGATATAAAATCATCATTATCCTCTTATGTTGCGACTCTAATTGCAAAGAGAGACGATTTCCTTTTTTGTAAAGGAGACAAGAAAATCCCAACGACCATGGATGTAGCAGATTGTTGAACCACGTAAACACTAAATCTTTAAACCCGTTTATCCAAGCAAAAAGGAATATACAACCATTTCACAGAGGATGCTTGTTTAACCTTTTCAGGTGCATTGCAATAATTCAAGTTTTCTTTTGTGAATACAGACGGCAAAGGCTGTGTTGTATGTATTCCGTGCATTTGGTACGAACATAAGGACTGGATACGACTGGACAAGCAAGAATGAGGTAGGCAGGTAAAAGAATCCTATAAGGTTTTAATTTGACATGGATAATTTAGTAATTTACCAATCTTGTTATTTCCCCAATTTTTGTTCCATCGATTTTAGTGGGATAAAAAATGCATTTTTGTGCCACTCATTCTTGTCGAGTCAGGTCCAAATGTCGTACCAAACTCACCCATCCTTGATACTTAAACAATTAATAATCAATTAACATATCAATTTGGTCTTGGGGCAGAGAGACTGCAATTTGCAACACATTTACCATGGTTGATTCATCATAAAGTTGAATCAGCATATAATGTACAATAGTCTACTCTTCAACCATTTCAATAGACCTCAAATTTTCACAGAAAATGGAAGAACAAAGCTGTAAAATGGGATAAAATGAGGGTAAAAGCAGTCTACCGGCCCTTCAATTTTCAGCAAAACTTCACATTCTTTACTCCCCAAAAACAGTAGAAAAATCATAAAGTAATTTTGACTTTTGAAGTCAAACAGACAAAATTTCAAAATCACTATGAACTTGTCCAGTCTTTTAGGGTGATAACTTACAACTATAATTAACTTCACAACAATCAAGTGAAACAATAACCCTAGATGTCAGATCAATTATAAAACCCATATCAAGTTCGAATTACACTACTACTGTAGGTTCGCAATCAGTAATCGAAGAGCAAAAGAGAAACCCCCAGATCAAGGAAGCAAGATCGATTAACAATTGCACAACCAATGAGACGCAGTTCAAGAACGATAAGATTACAAATCTTAACAAACAAATTCGAATAAATTTACCAGGGCACCAACTGAGATTAGTGGAAGGTTCAATATCCGCCAAGAACAGGATGAGATTGCTTTTGTTGTTTGGTGCTTCAGATTTGAATTTCTCGAAAACTGTGTTGAAGGTCGACAAGGTCGCGTCCACCATTTTCAAAGGCATCTTTGTTTACGTGAATTCCTTCAGAAAATTGTGATATCATTGTTCCCTTTGCTTTTCCAGAATATATATATACATGGGGATGGTAAGATGAAAGATAGCCAGATGCTCTCCTTATAGTTTATGAGATGTACAATCTCACCCCCTGAAGTTTCATAAATATGCTTCACTGCACCTACTTTTGTTGAAACTCCAGTATGATTTCAAGTGCCAACAAGTTACAATTTCTTTAAAACCATTTGATTGATTATGACCAATTTCTTTACAGGAAAACATTTGAATCAACAATGCTAAAACTTCACAAAAATGAACCAATTAAAACAGATCTTCCCTTTCACTTGCACATTTGCACTTATTGACCAAGACCAATTACAAGCGGTTAACAGTTCGGTCATAACCGGTTTGTACCAACAACGGTCCAAGGGGGGAAGAGAGGTCAGATGTACACAAGCTAAAGATCAGTTTATATATCAACATCTACTTACATGTGAACCTAGATATTCTAAGTAAGAAAAAAGAAACAATTAAATCACTTCTAGAAATTCAAAAAGAAGAAATCAAAATGAGAAAGAAGAGCAGCAGATTGGATACAATAACTCATAGCACTTCTTCCTCCAGTAATCAGAGATCCAAACCATTTACAAAGATGATGATGATGATGATGATGATGATGAACACCAACTGCAAAACTGTTGACACCCTTCTTCATTCAAAACTGCTGCTTCAAAAGCTTAGAAGTCACCTTCAGAGTTATATCGCCATATGCTTCATCTTGCTTTACATCAATAAGATCACAGCTCTTCAAGATCTAAAACCATACATGGGTTAAATTTCTTTAAAATCTTGAAACTAAAAGATCCAACTTTTATGGTGCTTTTGGTACACAGACACCACTGTACTAAACTGAATGGGTCTAGAATGGACATGAACGGTTTAAATTTGAGATGGGTAGTTTAATAATTTACCATTCTAATGCTATCTCCATTATTTTTGTTTCACCTATTCTGGTGGGACATGGGTAAATTAGTGATTTGAGGTGGGTGGAGAAAATGAGGCAGGGAGGCGAGAGATTTCAATAAAGTTTTAGGTTTTAATATGATATGGGTAGTTTAGTAATTTAACAAGCTTGTGTTATCTTCATCGTTTTTGTTTCACCTATTTTGATAGGACAAAAAAAACGCATTTCTCCTAGTGAAGTCATGCCCAGCCCAGTTTAACATTGCACCAAAAGTGGAACAAGTTTTTGAATTGTCATGTCCTATCTCGCATACCAAACACTTATGAATCTTATAAACTTACTCCCAAAGGGAGCATAATTCAAGCAAGAACTTACCAGTGTCTCCATGAACATCCGAGCGCATACTTTTCTTCTTTTTCCTTCTAGGATGCTGTTCAAACTAACAGCTCCTTCACGTTCAGGTGTAGAAGGGGTAGCCGATGACTTCTCTTTTATATATTGTGCCACGGCCCTGCACGGCCATCATCAAATGCACATCAAATACACGCACCACAAAACCAAATAAAAATCACATAGATTCAAAAACACTACCTAGTCCTTGCTAACAATGAGCCAATTTCTGGTGGTGTCCTTTGCCTTCCTGATGAGTAATCCGCTTCAGGGGTACCCCTTGATCCTGTATACTTGTGGGTCAGACATTATATTTTGTGCTTAATACTAAAAAAATGATTTCCTGTTGCTTTTCAAGTCAAAAAAACTCGATTTAACCCTGAAAAGTCAACTTTAGACCCTTTTTTGGACAAAAGTAACAATAAAAATCAAAATATAACTACACAAGTGCCAAAAACCGGACTTACTCATTGGCATAGGCGTACCCTCATCGTCTTCCAAAAAGGTCAATTCCTAAAATAGCAATGCAATAGTAAGTTTGAATATCGAGCACAAGAAATAATAACATAATTTGCCGTATATAAATATTATATATACTTTAAAAATAAAATAAAAATGAGTACAAGAAACATACTCCGGAATCATCCACTTCAGGAATATCAGATAAACCGCCACTGTTCTCAAAACCTTGCTGACCTTGAGAGAATAGTGTAGGTGTTTCCATATCAGAAAAAACATAGGTGCTAGATGATGTGGGGTCTGGTGTGGATCCCACACCAGTCCCTACAGACGTCTGCACCTGATAAGATTTCGACCCCATGTCAGTGCCAGTGGCAGGGGTATATTCGTCCATTTCACGTGGAGAAGAGAATGCTCCATTTTTTGGAGAAGGTATGCCCGTCCTGTCGCCTGGAGAATATGTTGGGATGGTGTCGTTGTCATTGGGACCCACAAAATCACGAATATGTTCAACTTCCATATCATCGGAATGAGGTTGCTCAGTCTCAATTAGCCGAGGTTTCTTAGACATGTAGCCAGTCTCAAACATTTGGCTAAGATTATGGCACAACCCTGCACATGTTCATAACAAAATATGCATTCAGGTAAAAGTTAACACCAAAACTTTTGTACTCTTTGGAACCAAGCAGTATACCAGAAGAAAACAATACCACAAAAACCAACTAACCGGTAATAACGGGTTCAAAAAGGACTTTTTCCTTTTTCAGAGTATTGTTTAACTTCCAAACACCCAACGAAGAACAGACTCCTTTTCTTTTCCGTAACAAATTGCTGGGATCATCTAAAGATTTCTTCATGAACCTAAATTAGACGTAAACCACCTCATCAAGAACAGCAGTCAAAAGAACTGGATAATATTATATTACATGAAATGTAAAAAATAAAACCATACTCATTAGTCAAGACTGTAGCTTTATCATATTGCATCTTTCTCCGTTTTGCCCTTGGCTGCTCAGCTGCTGGAGCTGGTTCAACCGATGGAGATGGCTGGACAGCCATCGGAGATGATGCTAGCCCTGATACCATATAAAACACAATAACTCAGATGATCCTAGCACTAGCTGTAATTTTATATATATATATATATATATATATATATATATATATCAATAAAAAACCACACACTACAACAAAATCAGCTTTACAGGACACCAAAAATATCATAAGACTTAATTGTTTGGTCTTATAAACCCAAGTCTATGAACCAGTCTATTAAGGCATTTAAACAATTTTGGGGTCTTATAAAGCTGATTTTGTGTAATGACACTAACCAAATGAGATATGTGGGTCTGAGTTATCGTTGGCAGGTCCTGAATGAGCTAAGTCCATTGGTGTCATTTGCTTAATAACTGGCGACAAATGTCCACCAGAAACCAAGATTTCACCCAACGCAGGTGAACCATTATTGATTTCTAAAGACAACTGTTTCTCCAAGACTAGGTCTGGTTCCTCCCTGTCTGAAGGCATTAAAGAAGCCATATTCAAATAATCATCATGGATGGCATCACGCAAAACTTCCCGAGTTACATTATCATCATCAATGAAGCTGTCACCAGATCCCATTTGATTATTGGGATCAGGTTCTTGAACAACAGCAGTTGTTTCTGGTGGAGAAAGAGGATGAGAGCTGCATTAAAAAGATAACTAAATCATTATTTCCAAAAGATTGATAGTCATAAGACCATCCAATACAGTAATTTCTTTCAGAAACATACCTTGCTTCCATGGGCATTGGGCTTGATCGTGAATTATACCGAGAAACAGATGGAGTTCTAGAAACATCCTACAAAAAACAGCGAAATCAGAGATTAAACTTTCTTGAAAAGCAGCTAAATGACTCAATTATCAACCAAAACAAGATACAACTATCACGCTTACCTCACCAAGCGAAATCATAATATATCCTGCAGGAGTTCGATTTCCATTTTTTGATAAACTGACTGGACTTTGATCTGAAGATATGCTAAACTTTAGAGATCGGACATTCATTAATAGATATCAAACCTATGATCATAACATCTTACCCATTAGTGAAATATCCTCATGGCGTCTAAGATGGGTGTCTGGGGACCTATGAATCAATACCCACCAATTATATATGATCTAAATAGTCAAAATGACATCAATGAGATTATGAAAGAAAGAAAGCACAATTCATACCCAAACGGATCGTAGTCATCAACATCCAATACATCAAGCGCAAAATTTTCAGGCAAAGTGATGGATTCAAATTTTGCTTGGTTGGCATCTTCTGGAAGATTGATGTCTGCATATGTATAGGCCTTGCTTATATCTATACGTAGAACATTATAGTCATGCTGGAGATATTCGAGCTTCTTTGAATATATTCGAACAACACCAAGCAGAAGATGACCAGACATTCTCAATGCAATCGGGACTTGTGGATTCATTATTTGTTCTACAAAAAATATGTTAGGTTTGTTCATTAGACAAGTATCCAAGATATTCTCATCAAAATTGAAAGCAAGAACAAACAATTTGTCAATTTGATCAACCAAGAGAACTAATGAAACATATAAAATACTCAAAAGCAAGTAGAGGGTACATTCAATAATCAAAAATTGGGTTTCTTTGACTTCCAACAAGTGGATAGCTTTTCAATATGTTGATTAAATGGAAATTTCTTGAATTCCCTACCGAATACCAGATTTTTGAAGTGTTTTCCAAGAAATCACACTATTAATTGATCGTATTCGATGACTTGTTAACAAAACAAGGGAATTTAGGGGACCTAACCAGATCATGGCAAATGGGCAAAAGTGTAATTAAGCTTTGAAATCTTCGAACGAAACTGTTGCAACTTTCAACATCTAAACATGAAAATCTTGATGCAACCAATGGAGTTGCTTTTTCCCAATGTATGTATATTTCAAAAGGATAAAATGAATATAAAGAACGCCACAAAACCAAATAATTGATATAACAGTAAATCAAAGATTGAGATTGACAAAATGTAACAAAAAATGTGACGAATTCAATGCCATTTAAGTCGGATATAGAAAAATTAAAAATCAGAACTAACATAATGTCACCCAATTGAAATAAGAACACAAGAAATGCAACGGCAATGACCCAGAATGAAAACCAAATCGAAATCACTAAATGACGTAAATTTCTGCCATAAATGAGCAAAAGAAGTTAATGATTAAACAAAGAAGCAGTTGAAATCAAAGAACGAACCAACAGTGGAGGGGATATTGACGGTAACATAGTTGGATTTCTTGAGTTTGCTTTGAAGATGGGCGGCGCACCAAACGGTACCCAGCGGACCTTTTCTTGCAAGCAGATTGTGCGAGTAGAACATTTTCCAAGTTTCAGAGACAAAGAGGGATTCAGAAGTGGGTTTTTGTCAAGATTTCTTGAGGAGTGGCCGAGTGGGAGCGTAGAGAAAGTGGGATTAAAATTGAAAAAATTGGGGGAAATTAGGCGGGGCGGGAAGGAATTGAATTGGCGCCATTTGAGGAAACCCGGTTGAGAATTCGTATGTAGCTCTGGGCTGGATTCTTTGATTGTATGGGCCGTGTGGCTAATGGTACAGTCGCCCAAGTTTTAAAGGTGGAATGGTGGATTCCATTAGAAAGAAGGTCAAAAACCGATACAGATTGGGTCTAAATCGGTCATTGATTTTTTTTTCATAACCGGTTCCGGTGTAATCGGTCTTGGACCTGATCACGGTCCCGATCAAAAACTCATGGTCTTGTAACCTTTAATCATAGCTAGTCTTTAGAACCGGTCATGGCTTCAATCTCAGATCAAGCTCGAATAGGTCTCATGTTTTTTTCAACAAGTAATTTTGAACATATAAAAAATCTTGTTTGATGATTTTTTTAATAATGTTTTATTGAAATATACTTTAAATTCCCTATGCGTTATTCAAATACATTTAAATATCTTTTAATACAAAAATTTGCAAAAGAATATTATACATGTTTTTTATAATTACGATTTTTGATATTTTGTGTTGAACGATTCAAAAAGCTTGAAAATCTTCCAAAATAACTTGTAAAACTTGAAATTTTGGATAAAAAGAACACTTGAAATCTAGTTAAAAGCTTAAAAAACTTAAAATATGTTTTATACAAATATTTTTTTAATTGGGTTTATGTATAGTTTATCCTGGATAAGACTAGACCTTGAATTTTTCTAAAAACCATAATTAGTTATGAACAACCGAGGTCGGGACCACCTGGTGAAAAATAAATAAGAATAATACATACACAAGTACGTACAATCGTACTAAAAAAATAACCCAAATAATAGTCTAACACTAACTTAGGACTAATAAATTAGGGAAAAGTCCAAAAAAACTCAATGGACTTTACTGATTGGAATGATTAAGTCCTTAGACAATTTTTTGGAACAAATAAACCATTGAACATTTTAAAACCTGTTAAATAAATCCTTAGACTTTTTAGAATTTGTTAAATAGATCCTTATTTGTTTAAAATATAACCTGTGACCTGAAGAGTAGGTAAACCCAAATTAAAAAAAAAAAACCCTAATATACTAAAAATGAGACCTGAAGAGTAGGTAAACCCATCTCACTCATCGTCTCCCTCTCGTCTCCACACCACCGTGACCACCGTGACCACTTATCTCCTCCCTCTCGTGACCACCGCTCCCTCCCGTCTCCTTCTCCCTCACACACCGTTGTCTCCCTCGCCCGCACCACCCCCGATCACCAGGTTGGCTTCCCCTTATGTCTGGAATCACGAGTGTCGCCCCGATCACCAGGTTCATCAAATTCATTTGCTTTACTACTAACTAAAACCATCTTATATTAAAAAAAAGTCCCAGAAAATAGACCCCGAATCCCTATCAAATTCATCATCTTTTTTATTCGATTCATTTCATTTAATCGTAATCCCTTTTCTTCGACCAAATAATTTGATCCCCTTTGACATTTTCCCCATTTTCCGCCTCCAATACCAACCTTTCTTGTTCTTCCAACCAAAGCCCACAAACCATTTTACTTCTTTCAGCAAATTCCAGAAAGAAAACCTGCAAAGATTAAGGATTTACACAGTGGGTAAAAGGGCAAACCCTCTGTTCTTTCTCATTCATTAAGCTCCTTTTGTGATTCATACACCACCATTGTCTGATTACAGCAATGCAAGAAGAAAACTTGCGATTTTGACCATGATTTCTGAAGTTTTTGAGGCCCTATTTCATGATTTGAGCTTGTGGGTCTGCTAGAAATCCGATCTTTAGTACTTGGTACTTTGCTTTTCTTGTCAAAGATTTTGAAATGGGAATATAATTAAAACAGGACCAATTCCAATTATGGTTGGAGATTCAACGTGAGATAAAGAAAATGAAAGATTGCAGAGTGAAGAAGAAGAAGCATACATGATGAAAAACAGGAGGGTCAAAGTGTTCACGCTTAATCATGTTGCCAAGCATTAGAAAGTCCAATGACTTATTTAACAGGTTTTAGAATGTCCAATGGTTTATTTGTTCCAAAAAATTGTCCAATGACTTAATCGTTCCAAACAGTAAAGTCCATTGTTTTTTTTTGGATTTTTCCCAATAAATTAATGGGAAATTGAGTCCAATCATCATATTTCACAAAAAAAAAATTGATCTGATAACTATTTTTTTGGGACTTTACTCCAAAGTCACTATTATCCAAGTCCGCGATTATTGCAGACACAGTAAACGACAAAATTCTAGAGTTTTTTTCCCCATGTCTGCAATCATTGCGGACACACTAAACGACAAAATTCTAGAGTTTTTATTTTTGCCCAGGTCCTTAATTATTAGGAATCCGACCTAAAACTCATTTTCCTTGAATTCGTAATGCCAGATTCGTGTTCACCTTGGGGGTTTCTTAGGAAAATGAGTTTTGAATCGAAACCGTAATAATTGTGGACCAGTGGTTATGGATCTGGCCCAACGTTGATGTTTTTGTTGTTTAGTGAATCCGCAATAATTGCGGACCTGAGGATTATGGACCTAGTGACTTTTGGATGAAGTATGAAGAGAAACGATTAAAAGGTTAATTTGGTTGTGAAATTTGTCATTTGAGTCAAATTCCTTGAATTAATTACCGTCTTACTAAGTCTACCCTTTTTACCTCTCCAATTACCATCCACATTAATTTCCCCATCCCTTTTTTGCTACTTAATACTACATTTGATACGTGGACGGGACATGAACAGGAGGGGACAAAATTCACTGTCTCATGTTTGGCGCAGCATGGGACAGAACAATACCTCATTATCTCACATTTGACATGACATGAGACAGAGACAAAAATTGGGACAAGGAGGCACAACATGTGACAAAATATGTTTTTTCTTGTTCCACCGAAGTAGATGGAACAAGAAGGAGAAATAAACTAAAATATTGTTGATATACCATAGTTTGATATATATCATTGATATTATATTTGTTTTAATGGTTATCACCGTTAGTTTCAGTCGTTGCCGCCACCACCACTTCCACCTCCTCTTCCACTACAACAACATCCTCAACAACCACCATCCCCCATTGCCACCCCTACCGTAGTCGACCACCGACCACCACTACAGCTTTTCGCTACCTCCAACTCCTCGTTTACTACAACAACCTCTGTCACCACCTCCACAACCACCGTCGACCACCATCCATAGCCACCTTTACAACCGCCAACACTACCACCTCCAACTCCTCTTAAACCTCTTCACACAATGTAGCGAGATATATATGGATTTTAATGTTTTTTTTTGTCTCAGTCGATGTCATAATATGGTTTATGTTGTTTTGAGAAAATGACAATGTTTTTTATTTTTGATTAAAATATAAATATGAATAAAATCATAAAAAATTGAAAAAAAATTGATATTAATACTAAACTAACTATTTAAAATATCTCATTATTTTGTGTATTTCTTTAATTCATTTTTTTTATTTTTTATTTAATAATATAATTTTTTATAAAAATAATGATCAAATATTTTGTTAGAAGTCAATGATTATTCTAATTATATTTTAAATTTTTTATATTTAAAATGATATATTTATCCTATATTCGATTATGTTTATATGCAGTTAGTTACACGAATCCATACATAAAGCTTTAGTAAATTGTACTTACACAAAATTTACTTGTAATCTGGAATTTTAAGTAATATACATCAATACACAGTACTGCAGGCATAAAAAATGATTTTTATGAGTTTTTTGTCAAATGTTTTATAATATAGTATAGATATAATACGAAAATTAAACTAAAAGTTATAAAAAAATTGATTTTTATAAAATATAAACGGTTGTCAAAAATGTTTTCCTACTTGGTTTATAATTTTGGAAATTTTTAAAAGGGAAATTTTTTTAAAAATCCAACAAAGTTTTTCATTTTGAATGATTTAGTTTATAAATTATTATTTTTTTGTAAAAAAACTATTAAACTTTTTCATTTTGAATTATTAAGTTTATAGACTGTTTTTTAAATTGAAAAATGATTAAACTTTCTTTTTTGAATGAAAAAACCAATAAATTTTATCATTTTTATTGATCTCTTAACATCTTTTAATAAATAAGCTAACATACTTTTAAAAACTGTTACCTGCATCATTTTAACCCCAAAAAAGTTATATTAATCGACTAGTAAAGTTCAATGGTTTTTTTTTAAATCAGGGTCTAATTATTCAAAATGTGAAAGTTTAATGGTTTTGCAATAAAAAAAATGGTTCAGGGTCTTAATAGTTTAAAATGAGAAAGTTTAATTTTTTTTGATTGAATTTTTTTTTTCAAGACTAACCATTTAAAATGAGAAAATTTGTTGGGGTTTTTAGACTTTCCCTTTTTAAAATTAATTGAAAATTTATAAAAAATAATTATGAATATTTTATAGGAAAAAGTTCAGAAAACTCAATGAACTATCTCGTTTTGAATTATCATGTTCCTGAACTATTTTTTGAATAAAGAACCATTAAACTTTCTCATTTTGAATGATTAAGTCATTGAAATATTTATTTGAATGAAAAAAGCAGTCAACTTTTTAATCTTAAATGATTAATTTGTTGAACATTTTTTAATAAATAAACCATCGAAGTTTTAGAAATTGGTTAGTTGCACTATCTCTAGAAAAAGAAACTACTTGTAACTGATTATAAATGTTTTAAATTAAAAGGAAAGCTAAGTCAGTTTTATTGTTCCCAAACCTACACATTTCAAACCCCCTGAAAAAAAGAGGTACCATTCCCCTTCATCACACCTCTTCGCCACACCATTGAGTCCATGTCATTGATCTCCTTCTTTTTTATTTATTTTTTATCTATCAAAAGAGAGAATAAAAAAGAGGATAATCGATGACAGAGG